GTTGATGTTGTTTCCTGCTTGCATTGCTGCCTCAAATAATATTGGGTTCTGTTACTAGGTAGGAAGAGAAGAATACACTGTGGGGATCAGTCTTTGCTCGTGTTTCAGAGCTATGTGGTTATATTCCTTGTTACAACTGTGGTCTTCCTCAGCTTTCATGCATATTTTTGCTAGTTGTTCAGAGCATTTCTTTTTTTTTTTTTGAGACAGAGTTTTGCTCTTGTTACCCAGGCTGGAGTGCAATGGTGCGATCTCAGCTAACCGCAACCTCCGCGTCCTGGGTTCAAGCAATTCTCCTGCCTCAGCCTCCTGAGTAGCTGGGACTACAGGTGTGCGCCACCATGCCCAGCTAATTTTTGTATTTTTAGTAGAGACGGGGTTTCACCATGTTGACCAGGATGGTCTTGATTTCTTAACCTCATGATCCACCCACCTTGGTCTCCCAAAGTTCTGGGATTATAGGCGTGAGCCACCGTGCCCAGCCGCATTTCTTTAATACATTTGCTTTCTCACTTAGTTTCAATATATACCTCACCTCATAGACACCCCTAAGTTACTCTTGCTGTGATAGTTCTGTCTTTATGCTTTCTTCTACCCTCATCCCTTACTACATTTTCTTGTCATACTGTAGCCCTGACATTTTTTTTTAGTCTCTCTGACCTCTTTCGTGAAAGGAACTTTAATTATCAGTTTCTTAGATCTTTGTTCCATTGTATATTAGCATGGATCGTCTTTTGTAGCTGATGCTTCATGTATAAATAATTTCTCCTGAATAATTTATCCGTTCATTTATCTTGACATCTTGCTTTTCCTTAATACAGAATTGTCCAAAGTATTGCCTGTGTCAGCAACTTGATGCACTTTCTTTAGTGCTTTAGCACATCAACCATTGGACTGTGTCCACTTAGCTCTTAAATATTTTAATGCCTTTAAAAAGCTGGCTTAGCACAGAACTTAAAATACCATCCTAATCTTCCTTTTTAAGGCTTGCATAATTTAGCAAGGTTTCAAGTCAAATGTAGGCTGAAAAGAATGATTGCCATCAGATATTAAGTTTTATTTAAACAGCACTCTGAAACATTAGCTAATGTTACCACTAAATAAGGGTAATAGTTACCTTTTTAAAAACTAAGTACATAGTTTCTGTCATTGCATCTAAATATAGTAGCTATTTGAATATATGCTTTTTTTGAGATGGAGTCTTGCTGTATCACCCAGGCTGGAGTGCAGTGGCACGATCTAGTGGCACAATCTCGGGTCACTGCAACCTCCGCCTCCTGGGTTCAAGTGATTCTCCTGCCTCAGCCTCCCAACTAGCTGTGATTACAGATACCCACTACCATGCCAGGCTAATTGTATTTTTAGAAGAGATGGAGATTCACCATGTTGGTCAGGCTAATCTCAAACTCCTGACCTCAGGTGATCCACCTGCCTTGGCTTCTCAAAGTGCTGAGATTACAGGGTGAGCCACTGCACCTGCGCAGAATTTATGGTTTTTACCTGATTATTTAAAAAATATTCCCAAGTACAGATGTTCCTTGACTTACAATGAGATTACATCCCAGTGAACTAATTATAAGGTGGCTGGACATAGTGGTTCATGCCTCTGATCCCAGCACTTTAGAAGGCCAAGGCAGGAGGATCAAAGTCCTGAGCCCAGGAGTTTGAGACCAGCCTCAGCAACATAGTGAGACCTCACCTCTACAGAAATAAAAAATTAGCCCAATATCATGGCATGTACCTGTAGTCCCAGCTATTTAGGAGGCTGAGGTGGGAGAATTGCCTGAGCCCAGAAGGTCAAGGCTACAGTGAGCCAAGATAATGCCCCTGCACTCCAACCTGAGCAACAGAGCGAGACCCTGTTTTTTAAAAAAATGGAAGAAAAGAGAAAAATGCCGTGCGCAGTGGCTCACGCCTGTAATCCCAACACTTTGGGAGGCCGAGGTGGGCAGATCACGAAGTCAGGAGTTCGAGACCAGCCTGGCCAACATGGAGAAACCCCGTCTCTACTAAAAATACAAAAATTAGCCAGGAATGGTAACAGGTGCCTGTAATCCCATCTACTCGGGAGTCTGAGGCAGAAGAATCACTTGAACCCGGGAGGAGGAGGTTGCAGTGAGCCGAGATCATGCCACTGCACTCCAGCCTGGGTGACAAGGGCAAGACTCTGTCTCAAAAAAATGAAAGAAAAAAAAAGATCATAATTTAGAAATACTGTAAGTTGAAAATGCATTTAACCTACTGAACATTATAGCTTAGCCTTAACTATCTTAAATATGCTCAGAACACTTATATTAGCCTATAGTTGGCCAAATCATCCAACACAAAGTCTACTTTATAATAAAGGATTGAATATCTCATGTAATTTATTGAATACTGTTCTAAAAGTGAAAAAAGGAATGAAGTATGGTTTCTACTGATTATGTACTGCTTTCAGACCACTGTAAAGTTGAGAAATCATAAATCAAACCCTCTGTAAGTGGGAGGTCATCTATATGCCTATACTATACTATTTTTACTTGAAGTGTTCTTTCACTGAATTCTGTTCTTCCCAGCATCTTCAGATATAACTTTGTTGTTTAGGGTAGAAATTCGGTAGTAAGGAATTACACTGTTATTACTTATTCAGCTATCTTTTGCTTCAGAATAAGGAAGAATTAAACCCATTTATTTATTTGTAATAAGATTTCCCTATGAATTTTTTCTATATTATAATAGCAATGCATGCTTATTACCAAAGAAGTATCTGACCAAAAAAATAGGCAACTCAGACTTCACCAGAAAAATTACTGTTAAGTAGTTTGTGTATAGTTTTTAAGGTCTTTGGGAGGGCAGAGGCATAGCACTGGTAATATGTATGTATAAATATCCATAGATTGGCTCACACCTATAATCCCAGCACTTGGGGAAGCTGAGGCAGATGGATCACATGGTCAGGAGATCAAGACCATCCTGGCTAACATGGTGAAACCCTGTCTAGTAAAAATACAAAAAATTATCCAGGGGTGGTAGCACGTGCCTGTAGTCCCAGCCACTCAGGAGGCTAAGGCAGCAGAATTGCTTGAACCCAGGAGGTGGTGGTTGCAGTGAGATGAGATCACATCACTGCATTCCAGCCTGGGCGACAGAGAGACTCTGTCTCAAAAAAGAAAAAAATTTATAGATTGACTATTTTTGTTCAAGTTTAGAAAATATATATATAACTAATATCTTCTTGTGCTTTCCTTTGAGATATTTGCCTACTTCAGTGCTTTGCCCCGGGCAAAATTATTGTATGTTCCACCTCCCTCCACACCCAAATAAAGAAGATTTAAATGAGTACAGAGGGGAGTTTCAAAGGGAAAACTTGTCTCAAAAGGGCAGTCTATAGTTCTACTCATTGATTTGGTTTTAGTATGTAAATAATATTCCAATTTTTTCATAAGTTTTCCTAGATAAATATTAGCTCAAGATTGTACCACACAGCCTGGGCGCAGTGGCTCACGCCTGTAATCCCAACACTTTAAAAGGCCGAGGCGGGTGGATCACGAGGTCAAGAGATCGAGACCATCCTGGTCAACATGGTGAAACCCCGTCTCTACTAAAAATAAAAAAAAAAATTAGCTGGGCGTGGTGGTGCATGCCTGTAATCCCAGCTACTCGGTAGGCTGAGGCGGGAGAATTGCCTGAACCCAGTAGGCAGAGGTTGTGGTGAGCTGAGATCATGCCATTGCACTCCAGCCTGGGTAACAAGAGTGAAACTCTGTCTCAAAAAAAAAAAAAAAGATTGTACCACATATACTTATGTTGTAGCTTTATCCAGAGTAAGAAATGCAGCTCTTGTAGGAATTGAGTAGGAGCCAAGTTAATACAAGCTTTAGAAGACTGGAGAATAGGAAGTGGGTAAGGGAGAAAATGAGAAAGAAATCAACTCTTAGGTGAAGAAACTTGGTAACTCCTATTTTTTCTTCAAATAGTACTGTTGCTTAATTTTTTTTTATGTCAAGGATCATTATTATTATCTATAATTTCATTATTGGTGAAATTGCATTTGAATGCTCATACTTTGTTCTGATTGCTCTGTTTTTCTGTATACCTAGGCAGATACTTTAAATTTCAGAAATTGTGCTATAAATTTTTTTTTCAGTTTCAGAGCTATGGTTTTATTTAATATAAGGTTTATATAAGATTTCCTTATAGAGAGGAAAAATATAATGTAATTATATTTGGTGAGAGGCTTAGGTTAGATTCATTCTTTCAGTCAGCAAGCATTTACTGTGTGTCTATCCTGTGCCAAGCCTTTTAAATTCTGGTAAAATATATTATCTTTCTGCCTTCATGGAGCCTGTATTCCTATGATAAGGACTAAAAAAGTAATAGAAGGAGCATAACACTACTTTGCTTCTGTAAAATTAGAAAAACAAGTTTTCATATCTTGGTGAGAGATACCAATTCCTCTGCTTGTTCTTCCAAACCATTATAAAACTATTTCTGGTTAGATTTGAAAAGCTGAGGTGGGCTTAGAGATAGGGCTAAACCTCAGGGTAGAACTGGAATGTGCTGTCCCAGGTTTAATCTATTAAGCTGTAAGAGAACAGTTTAAGATTTACATTAAAATTTTGAGGCTCCATTAGTTTTTCACTGATACTTATTTTAGACAATCTGACCTTCTTGCTTTTTTCATGTTTATACCAAATATTCCTTTCTGTATTGCCTCTTTTTGCAGCCCTATACTATAAATGAAGAGAAAAAAAAAACAAGTGTGTGTTAGAATTTGAAGTGGCAGCATGTTTTTTAGTTTTAATGTTTAATTAACTATACATGTGATAGGAGTTATAAAATGTGTTAGAAAATAGTGATGAGTGTGAGTTTAAATTTTGATTTGTCTTTTTTATTAGAAAATTAATGGGCAGAAAAATAACACTACTTTTATATTTATGTAGTTCCTATTACCTGCATGTTTATTTCTTGTTCAATAATGCTTTTTAGTCATTAATAAATATTTTAAATTATCCAAACAGATCATTATAAACCTGCAATTTCCCATCGAGATTTAAACAGCAGAAATGTTCTAGTGAAAAATGATGGATCCTGTGTTATTAGTGACTTTGGATTGTCCATGAGGCTAACTGGAAATAGACTGGTGCGCCCAGGGGAAGAAGATAATGCAGCCATAAGTGAGGTGAGTGTATACAAAAGGTATCACACTGATGTACCTTGAAATAATAATGAATTTAATTAAAACATCTACCTGCTAGGCATGGTGGCTCATGCCTGTAATCCCAGCACTTTGGGAGGCCCAGGCAGGTGGATCACCTGAGATCAGAAGTTCAAGACTAGCCTGACCAACGGGTAAAACTCCATCTCTACTAAAAATACAAAAATTAGCTGGGCACAGTGGCACGCACCTGTAATCCCAGCTACTCAGGAGACTGAGGCAGGAGAATTGCTTGAACCTGGGAGGTGGAGGTTGCAGAGAGCTGAGATCATGCTACCGCACTCCAGCCTGGGTGACAGAGCGAGACTCAGGACAATTATTCTCATATACTGCCAATTACAGAATACTAGGAATTACAAAATTAGGAAATATAAAATACATCACCTAAAGGCCTTTGTAAAGTTCATCAGTTTACTTTGGAACTCACTGCCATTCCAAGTCATTTTAACAAGCATTAGGAACAAATTTGTAGGAAGCGATTTTTAAAGCAGTAGTAAAGTTACAAGTTTAAGATAAGATAGTCCATCTTTTGATAATCACCATTATAATGTGGAATATATCCTTCCCAGTTTTGTTCTCTGTATTCATATATACATGTCTATGTACAACATATATGTATTTTTGTGTTTTTTTTTGAGATGGAGTTTAGCTCTTATTGCCCAGGCTGGAGTGCAGTGGCACGATTTTGGCTCACCACAACCTCCACCTCCCTGATTCAAGCAATTCTCCTGCCTCAGTCTCTCGAGTAGGGATTACAGGCATATGCCACCATGCCCAGCTATTTTTTGCATTTTTAGTAGAGATGGGGTTTCACCATGTTAGTCAGGCTGTTGTTGAACTCCTGGCCTCAGGTGATCCACCCTACCCAGCCTCCCAAAGTGCTGGGATTACAGGTGTGAGTCACTGCGCACAGCTGTATTTTTGTGAATTTTTAAAAATATTAGGTGGCATACATATTGTTTTGTAATTTTCTCAGTGTATCTTACAGATTATTTATGTTGATATACATAGGAAAGTCTAGCTCATTCTTTTTGAATAATGAATAATATTCACTAATATTGATTTATCACAGTTTATTCAGGAAGGGCATTTTATAGGTAAAAAATAAGTTATAGAAAGGTTTGGTGATGTGGTTAGGGTCAAATAACATTGACATGACTACGATTTATGTGTAACTTCTGGTCTAATGTCTGTTCTTCAGAATATGCTACATTCTCGCTCTAAAAAATATCACTCTAATTTATCAGGTTGGCACTATCAGATATATGGCACCAGAAGTGCTAGAAGGAGCTGTGAACTTGAGGGACTGTGAATCAGCTTTGAAACAAGTAGACATGTATGCTCTTGGACTAATCTATTGGGAGATATTTATGAGATGTACAGACCTCTTCCCAGGTAAAAACTACTGTCAATAAAGTTAATATGTTTTGAAGTGAAACAGTTATATCTTCTTTCTCTACCTGTAGTACATAACTCAACTTTTACGTAAGAATCTACTTTCATCTAAACCTCTAGTTCATTGACGTCTAGTGTTTAGAAAAATTATTAGCAGAAGGATGCGAATCAGGAAATTTTTTTTAGAGTGTTCCATGTTTTCATCTGAGTGCAATTTAATTGATTGCCAGTAATAGCTTATTGAACTCTATTTCAATAAGCTTTAGCATTCAACATTTTTCTTTTTCTTTTTTTTTTTTAATTGCATTTTAGGTTTTGGGGTACATGTGCAGAACATGCAAGATAGTTGCATAGGTACACACATGGCAGTGTGATTTGCTGTCAAATTTGCTTCACCCACATCTGGCATTTCTCCCCATGCTATCCCTCCCCAGCTCCCCCCCTCCCCCGCTGTCCCTCCCCTATTCCCCTCAATAGACCCCAGTGTGTAGTGCTCCCCTCCCTGTGTCCATGTGTTCTCATTGTTCATCACCCACCTAGGAGTGAGAATATGCGGTATTTCATTTTCTGTTTTTGTGTCAGATTGCTGAGAATGATGTTCTCCAGATCATCCATGTCCCTACAAAGGACACAAACTCATCGTCTTTGATGGCTGCATAATATTCCATGGTGTATATGTGCCACATTTTTCCAGTCCAGTCTATCATCAATGGGCATTTGGGTTGGTTCCAGGTCTTTGCTATTGTAAACAGTGCTGCAATGAACATTTGTTTGCATGTGTCCTTATAGTAGAACGATTTATAGTCCTTTGGATATATACCCAGTAATGGGATTGCTGGGTCAAATGGAATTTCTATTTCTAGGTATTTGAGGAATCGCCACACTGTCTTCCCCAATGGTTGAACTAATTTACACTCCCACCAGCAGTGTAAAAGTGTTCCTATTTCTTCACATCCTCTCCAGCATCTGTTGTCTCCAGATTTTTTGATGATCGCCATTCTAACTGGCGATCTACAGTGAGATAGTATCTACAGTGAGATAGTATCTCAATGTAGTTTTGATTTGCATTTCTCTGATGACCAGTGATGATGAGCATTTTTTCATATGTTTGTTGGCCTCATGTATGTCTTCTTTTGTAAAGTGTCTGTTCATATCCTTTGCCCATTTTTGAATGGGCTTGTTTGTTTTTTTTTCTTGTAAATCTTTTTGAGTTCTTTGTAAATTCTGGATATCAGCCCTTTGTCAGATGGGTAAACTGCAAAAATTTTTTCCCATTCTGTTGGTTGCCGATTCACTCTAGTGACTGTTTCTTTTGCCGTGCAGAAGTTGTAGAGTTTGATTAGGTCCCATTTGTCTATTTTGGCTTTTGCTGCCTGTGCTTTTGGTGTTTTGGTCATGAAGTCCTTGCCTACTCCTATGTACTGAATGGTTTTGCCTAGATTTTCTTCTAGGGTTTTTATGGTGCCAGGTCTTATGTTTAAGTCTTTAATCCATCTGGAGTTAATTTTAGTGTAAGGTGTCAGGAAGGGGTCCAGTTTCTGCTTTCTGTACATGGCTAGCCAGTTTTCCCAACACCATTTATTAAACAGGGAATCCTTTCCCCATTGCTTGTTTTTGTCAGGTTTATCAAAGATTGTATGGTTGTAGATATGTTGTGTTGCCTCCGATGCCTCTGTTCTGTTCCATTGGTCTATATCTCTGTTTTGGTACCAGTACCATGCTGTTTTGATTACTGTAGCCTTGTAGTATAGATTGAAGTCCAGTAGTGTGATGCCTCCTGCTGTGTTCTTTTTGCTTTTGCTTAGAATTGACTTGGCTATGCTTCTTTTGGTTCCATATGAAGTTCATGGTGGTTTTTTCCAGTTCTGTGAAGAAAGTCAATGGTAGCTTGATGGAGATAGCGTTGAGTCTGTAAATTACTTTGGGCAGTATGGCCATTTTCATGATATTGATTCTTCCTAACCATGAACATGGAATGTTTCTCCACCTGTTTGTGCCCTCTCTGATTTCGTTGAGCAGTGGTTTATAGTTCTCCTTGAAGAGGTCCCTTACATTCCTTGTAAGTTGTATTCCTAGGTATTTTATTCTCTTTGTAGCAATTATGAATGGCAGTTCGTTCTTGATTTGGCTCTCTTTAAGTCTGTTATTGATGTATAGGAATGCTTGTGATTTTTGCACATTGATTTTATATCCTGAGACTTTGCTGAAGTTGCTTATCAGTTTCAGGAGTTTTTGGGCTGAGACGATGGGGTCTTCTAGATATACTATCATGTTGTCTGCAAATAGAGACAATTTGACTTCCTCCTTTCCTATTTGAATACTCTTTATTTCTTTTTCTTGCCTGATTGCTCTGGCTAGAACTTCCAGTACTATATTGAATAGGAGTGGTGAGAGAGGGCATCTTTGGCTAGTGCCAGATTTCAAAGGGAATGCTTCCAGTTTTTGCCCATTCATTATGATATTGGCTGTTGTTTTGTCGTAAATAGCTTTTATTATTTTGAGATATGTTCCATCAATCCCGAGTTTATTGAGGGTTTTTAGCATAAAGGGCTGCTGAATTTTGTCAAAGGCCTTCTCTGCGTCAATTGAGATAACCATGTGGTTTTTGTTTTTGGTTCTGTGTATGTGGTGAATTATGTTTATAGACTTGCGTATGTTGAACCAGCCTTGCATCCCCGGGATGAATCCTACTTGATCATGGTGTATAAGCTTTTTGATACGCTGTTGCAGTTGGCTTGCCAGTATTTTATTGAAGATTTTTGCATCTATGTTCATCATGGATATTGTCCTGAAGTTTTCTTTTCTTGTTGAGTCTCTGCTGGGTTTTGGTATCAGGATGATGTTGGTCTCATAAAATGATTTGGGAAGGATTCCCTCTTTTTGGATTATTTGGAATAGTTTCAGAAGGAATGGTAACAGTTCCTCTTTGTGTGTCTGGTAGAATTCGGCTGTGAACCCATCTGGACCTGGGCTTTTTTTGTGTGTTAGGCTCTTAATTGCTGCCTCAACTTCAGACCTTTTTATTGGTCTATTCATAGTTTCAGCTTCCTCCTGGTTTAGGCTTGGGAGGACACAAGTATCCAGGAATTTATCCATTTCTTCCAGGTTTACTATTTCATGTGTATAGAGTTGTTTGTAATATTCTCTGATGATGGTTTGAATTTCTGTGGAATCTGTGGTGATTTCCCCTTTATCGTTTTTTATTGCATATATTTGGTTATTCTCTCTTTTCTTTTTTATCAATCTGGCTAGTGGTCTGTTTATTTTGTTGATCTTTTCAAAAAACCAGCTCTTGGATTTATTGATTTTTTGAAAGGTTTTTTGTGTCTCTATCTCCTTCAGTTCTGCTCTGATCTTAGTTATTTCTTGTCTTCTGCTGGGTTTTGAGTTTTTTTGATCTTGCTCCTCCAGCTCTTTCAATTTTGACGTTAGGGTGTCAATTTTGGATCTCTCCACTCTTCTCACGTGGGCACTTATAGCTATATATGTTCCTCTAGAGACTGCTTTAAATGTGTCCCAGAGATTCTGGTATGTTGTGTCTTTGTTCTCGTTGGTTTCGAAGAACTTGTGTATTTCTGCCTTCATGTCATTGTTTATCCAGTCAACATTCAAGAGCCAGTTGTTCAGTTTCCATGAAGCTGTGAGGTTCTGAGTTCGGTTCTGAATTCTGAGTTCTAACTTGATTGCACTGTGGTCTGAGAGACTGTTTGTTATGATTTCAGTTGTTTTGCATTTGCTGAGGAGTGATATACTTCCAATTATATGGTCAATTTTAGAGTAGGTTTGATGTGGTGCTGAGAAGAATTATATTCTGTGGATTTGGAGTGGAAAGTTCTGTAAATGTCTATCAGGTTTGCTTGTTACAGGTCTGAATTCAAGTCCTGGATATCCTTATTAATTTTCTGTCTAGTTGATCTGTCTAGTATTGACAGTGGAGTGTTAAAGTCTCCCACTATTATTGTGTGGGAGTCTAAGTCTCTTTGTAAGTCATTAAGAACTTGCATTATATATCTGGGTGCTCCTGTATTTGGTCCATATATATTTAGGATTGTTAGCTCTTCTTGTTGTATCAATCCTTTGACCATTATGTAATGTCCTTCTTTGTCTCTTTTGATCTTTGTTGGCTTAAAGTCTATTTTATCAGAGATGAGAATTGCAACTCCTGCTTTTTTTTGCTCTCCATTTTTTTGGTAAATCTTCCTCCATCCCTTTATTTTGAGCCTTTGTGTATCCTTGCATGTGAGATGGGTTTCCTGGATACAGCACACCGATGGGTTTTGGCTTTTTATCCAATTTGCCAGTCTGTGTCTTTTGATTGGGGCATTTAGCCCATTTACATTTAGGGTTAATATTGTTATGTGTGAGTTTGATACTGCCATTTTGATGCTAGCTGACTGTTTTGCCTGTTAGTTGATGCAGATTCTTCATTATGTTGATGCTCTTTAGCATTTGATATGTTTTTGGAATCGCTGGTACTGGTTGTTCCTTTCTGTGTGTAGTGCCTTTTTCAGGAGCTCTTGTAAAGCAGGCCTGGTGGTGACAAAATCTCTGAGTACTTGCTTGTTTGCAAAGGAATTTATTTTTCCTTCACTTATGAAGCTTAGTTTGGCTGGATATGAAATTCTGGGTTGAAAGTTCTTTTTTTTAAGGATGTTGAATATTGGCCCACACTCTCTTCTGGCTTGTAGGGTTTCTGCCGAGAGATCTGCTGTGAGTCTGATGGGCTTTCCTTTGTGGGTGACCCGACCTTTCTCTCTGGCCGCCCTTAGCATTTTCTCCTTCATTTCAACCTTGGTGAATCTGACTATTATGTGCCTTTGGGTTGCTCTTCTTGTGGAATATCTTTGTGGTGTTCTCTGTATATCCTGGACTTGAATATTGGCCTGCCTTGCTAGGTTGGGGAAATTTTCCTGGATAATATCCTGAAGAGTATTTTTCAGCTTGGATTCATTCTCTTTGTCACGTTCAGGTACACCTATCAAACGTAGATTAGGTCTCTT